GCATGAGCCTTCCTCGCAGCAACGATCAGATCTCTTGGCATATCTCGGGTCGCATGCTCTCTCTGGCTCTGGCAGGACCGTGTGCCTGCGGAAACCATGACATCTGGGGCTCCACCTTCTGACGAGGACCAGCCACGTCATATATGACCTAGAAAAGCCCCACACCCTCCGAGAACCCGGAAACTGCAGTGCCCGTATAGAGTCCGAAGCTTCAGGACGGCAGCAGGCTCTGGAATGTCTCAAGAGGGCCAGCTCCTGAGCTTCCCGAGCTGCTTTCTCGTGCACATGTCGGGCTCCGTGTCACGTCGGGTTTTTGGGCAGCTGAGTTCCTGTGAGCTCCACGATGACGGGTGCATCACCAGCCCTGGCTATTCCGGGACCACGAGTGGACTGGAGGGTGACGGGCGGTGCACCATTCAGGTCCGGCCCAGCAACAGCTGGCGCATCCGCGTGGAGACTTTCCAAGTTCATCCATACTTCAGCACCTTCACCATCAACGGCGTCAACTACGCCACAGACAGAAGTCCAAGCGATCTCAACTACGTAGTGCCGCAGGGCAAGATCGACTGGCGGCCCGCCGCCTGGCTGCACCTGCCCATTTCTTTTCAGTCGTGTGGAATAGTGGCTGAAACGCAGCGTGGCTGGAACGCAGCGCCGCAGCCCCCATCAGTAAGGACGAGGTAACTGAGACGCAGAGGTGGAAGCTGTGCCTGGAGCCGCCCCCGCGGCTGGAAAGCTGTAGGTTGGCAGCAGTTCTCAGACAAACGGAACTGGCCATCAGCGGCTTCGACATTATCGCCGAGGGAGCCTTTGACCCTTTGGGCTGTCGTTTGAGGCGCTTGTCGCTGACCAACAATACCTTCACCTCCCTGCCACCTCAGCGATTCCGGTGCCTCAGCTGCCTGCAAGCCCTTGACTTGGGCAAAGGACAACTCGTCACCCTGGAGGATGGGACTTTTGAAGGCCTGGAAGAGCTGCGGCTCCTCTCGCTGAGCCAAAATCGGCTGAGGAACCTCTCCGTCGGGGTGCTTCGTCCCCTCGTCAAGCTGGAGCAGCTCCTTCTGGGCGGCAATGAAAGGACGCGTGGAAACTATCTGACCAGCTTGCCTGACGTCTCGCACAATCTACATCTGCAAGTCTTGGATGTCAGCGAGAATCAGGCACAGCTCTAAAATTCGCACACGTGTGCAGCCTTGTGCACAACAAACGGTTTTGTGTTTGCCAGAGCAGAGGTACGGGTACAGGCACACCCCAGCCATACCACATAGGAGCTTGTGCGAGAGGGGTGCCCTGTGACGACGTTCGAACTTCGAGGTGACTCCAAACCATAATGTCCCAGCAGGCTCATCGAACACGACC